CCGATATGGAAAGGTCTTCACGATATATTGTTAAGTACACAAAGCAAGCTGCAGAACTGTGGGCACAGAAAGTTACCTTCTGGGCAAATTACAGTACTGCCCCACCTTATCCATGGTTTCAGTTACCTGCAGTCAACCGAGGTCCAAAAATATTACATGAAAAAACCCAGAAACAAACAATTCATGAATTGTAAACGGCATGCAGTTATGAGTGGTGTGATGAACTCTCACGCCATTTTGCTTCCTCCATCTTTATCACAAGAAGGGCAAGCACAGTACAAAAGGATGTTTTGAGAGAGACACTACATTCACATAACTTTTATTGCCGCATACTGTTATAATTGTTCCAGTTTATTATTTGTTTTTGTTGTTAATCTCTTGCCATGCCTAATTTATAAATTAAACTTTATCATATACCTTGCATCATATACATACCTTCATCATAGGTATGTATTCATAGGAAAAAAGCACAGTTTATACAGGGTTCAGTACTATTTGCAGTTTCAGGCAACCACTGGGGGGGTCTTAGAATGTATTTCCTTCCAGGATAAGGGGGCATTGCTGTATATGTGCCCTTCACATGCACTGGTGTCTCTGAGAGGATACTCAATAAACTAGTAGGCTGGGCGCAGTGTCTCATGCCTGAAATCCCAGTATTTTGGGAGGCTGAAGAGGGTGGATGGCTTGAGCCCAGGAGTTTGAGACCAGCCTGGGCAACATGGCAAAACCCTGTTTTTTTGGTTTTTGCTTGTTTTGTTTTTTTTTTTAAACAAAAAAAAGAAAGAAAGAAAAAAGAAAAGAAAAAGAAACTATGTAGTCCCAGCTACTCGGGAGGCTGAGGCAGGAGAATGGCATAAACCTGGGAGGCGGAGCTTGCAGTGAGCTGAGATCCAACCACTGCACTCCAGCCTGGGCAACAGAGCGAGACTCCATCTCAAAAAAAAAAAAAAAAAAAAAAGAAAAAGAAACTAGTAAAGTGGTCCCCTCTGAGGAATTTTAGGAAGAGCAGGTTTTATAGCTATTCAAAAATTAATTTTAAAAAATTCAATATAGCAAGGAGAGGCATAGAGAAAGCCAGTGAAATAGGGAAATAAAGTAGAGGATGCTCTATTATTAGGGAATAGGAATAGGAAATAGGGAATAGGAATAGATGGGTAATCCAGAGGCTATGGTAGGAAAGAGATTCCCTAACTATGGGGTGAAGCATGGGTTTAATCCTGAGAGGGGAATTATGATAGAAACTTGGAAAAAGCCCTTATGGAAACTACAGCTCCAGAGTCAGGCAATGTCCATATAGGGTTAGTGAAAAGCCAAGGCATGCATTAGAACCAAAGAAGAAGAGGCACTCATCTCTAATAGGGCAGATCTGATGAACAAATTCACTTATTTGTATCGAGAAGATTACATATCTACTGAGTTTTTATTTTAATGTTTAAATACAGTGTTCTGGCCCTCTCACATGTACACTTTCATAAGATGTTAAAAGAAGAACAAATCAGTCAATCCATCAATGCTCCAGGTTTACATTACATCTTTCTCCTAAGAGTTCAAAGGCTTTAAATGTCACACCTTCTTTTATCTTCACAACATTTACACACCTACAGTAGAATACAGATGGTGCAAAATTGGGGGAAATGAGGCCAAGTCTCAAGATGAATCACTTGCAGAAATAGGCCTTCAATTCAACTTTCCTTATTAAGCATCATGATTTTTTTAAATAACATATTAAGGCCATTTTGAAAGCAAACAAGAGTATCACCTTTGGAATGCTCTTAGGTGTACGCATGTGAATATGTGTGTATATACATATATGCATAGGTGACACACAAACAATCATAGACACACACATTCACACTGACTATATAATTTTGGCTCAGCTAAATACATACAGCTAGATACACACATCTACTAACATGCTTAAACCACCCTTAGGCATAATAATCCATAGATAAAAACAAAACAGTGACAGTGACCACGAGACTGTTATAAAGAAATTCACAAATATCACAGTAATTCAGAAATTTTAGTTGGAGAGCAAGTGAGAAAGAGCAAGTAAATAATTATAAGCCCAATACACTTGTCACTGCACCCACTAAAAGAATTTAATTTAAAACTCAAACATCGTCATATTGGAAGGGGAAATGAAAAGCTAATAACATGCATTGACGTTTACATAAAATTAGTATGTAAAGTGAGAGATATGAGCCTAATGATGAATATGAAGCAACGGTTTGCATTTTAACAGACTAAGCAAAAAATGTAATTGACAAAGAGGCGAATCTAAATGAATTTCCAGCTATTTAAACACTAACTGCAGCTGCATGCTAATTGTCAGTGTTATGAATTAGAAAACAATCTGTTTAAATGAAAATTCAAAAAATAAATGCAGCCAACATGGTGAACTTGCACACTGTACCAAAGTTAACATTCATTCAATCAGAGAAATTTTTTTTCAAAAAAGTCATTTTTAAACATCAGAATATTCAGTTGGCAGTTACTTCATATTGATTGAGGGGAAAAAGTATTTTGGGGCAAATGGAAATATTAAAGTGTTTCCAGGAGCAGCATCTTTCTTTCCTGGAATTATGTCAAGATTAAAAACATTTGTTTTCAAGAAGAAGCTAATACAATAACACCTCAATGTCACTAACAGCCATGGGAACAACTTAGGGTTTCTAGTTAACTTTACACTGAAGTATCTACCATTCCATTATATCACAAAAAAACCCACTGTATTAAAGCAAACACAACAGTGCTTTTTATAGGAGCTGAATTCATAGCACACAACATCTTATAGGCAGTCCTGAGCTCAAGCTTTGGCACTAGCCTTCCTGGGTTCAAAACCTAACTCTACCATTTTTTTCTTTGTGAGTTTGAGCGGATCATTTAACCACACTGTACCTTGCTTTTCTCACCTTAGTATAAGGATAACAGTTCCTACCTCCTAGGATCATTGTGAGAATTAAATGTATTCATATATGCAAGGATTTGGCCAGTGCCTGGCACATGCTCAATGATTGACAGCTATCATTATTACCTTCAGTCAAGACATCAGTCCCTCAGAGCAAGCATTATTTAGCAGTAAAAGACAAAGAAGATGGTGACAAGCATGCCATAATTTTGATGGTTCCTAGATGTGAAGGGAATACTGTCATCTACCACCTTCCAGACCCTCTCCTTGGTGGATGGAAGTCATTGGAGTATCTCTGGCCACTTCTAAGTAAAGATCATTTCTGGGTGGGAAACTGATTGAAGTACCCCAATCCCCATAGATGCTACACAAGTGACTCTGGAACACAGTGAGGTGTCAAACCATGGCTGTCTTAGGATGTGCTTTGAGATCTTGCCATATTTTTCCCTACAGCACTACCGGCCCTCAGAGGGATGGCTTGTTGACTGTCATGCACCTGACTTTGCAGATGACTTTTGTCCAGATCCCCTGGACTATATCACCAAATGTTTCATTTAACCTTGGATTTCCCAAGGTCATGCAAAGGACAGGGCACAGAAATTAAAGCCGAAACAGTAAAATTTCATGTTCATTCTTCTCCTTTAATTTACTGGAAGTTCCACCCTCTGAATAGAAGGAAAAAGGCCAGGTCCACAGGCATGTTGGCAGCATGTCAAGTCACCGAAAAGGGATGTGAATTCCCACAAATAAACACAGGCTCCTCTGCACGCTCTCAAGGCCAGTCACACTGTGATTAGGCTGGCATTCCTGCCAAGGCATGAAGGGAAGCAAAAAGAGAGAAGCCCCCAGCCTTGAATCACATACAAACACTGGTTACAAAGCAGGACAAGAGGGCTCTGTCAGTGTGCGGTCAGGGGAGAGCAGCCCCCATCTCCAATGGGGCTGCAAAACCGGTGCTTCCTGCTACCTGCACAAGAGAGGGAAGGATTATATGGCATCCCTCCTGGACCCAGTTGAGTTACACGGCCCGAGCAAATAGTTCTGGAGTAAAAATGAACTCAAGGCAAAATCAAGCTCTTCCAACACTCCATCCGACCTCCCTTTCCCAGGTTCTTTTGTACCATCTACTTATTCATCATCAGGATCTTCAGATCTCAATCTCAGAAAAACCAACTCTTCAAAGAGGATCTGCTAGTCTTTTTTGCACCTTGGTATACATTTAATCCCAGTCATTTTTCCCCAACTCATTTTAATTGGCGATGATTTCTAAGACAATGACAGGCTTTATGCCCTGTTCAAATCGGGTCAGTCCTGGGGCAAGTATAGGCCAGAGTCGGTGACTTTCTCTGCTTGCATAAGATACCAGGCTGCATCTATGGACACAAACAGTCCTATTTCCACATTAAATGTCTAAAACAGATAATTACGATTAACCTACATTGGACTTTAAAAATTAAACTGAACAGATTAGTCCCTGTGCATCCTCAAATATCAGAGAAAGACAATAATCCTTTAAACTCAAAAGGAAGCATCGCAGTGGAACGAGTTGTCAGAAAACCTAAGTTTTGGTCCAGGGTCATCACTATTTTACCACGTAAGCACTCACATGTCATTTGAATTTTCTGGTCCTCAGACTCCAAAGATAAAATTAATGGGTTTGATAGCTATCTAAGGTTCTTTTCAATTCTAAAATTTCATGATCCATTTGTCATTTTCAGTTCAAGTACTTTCGGATGTCGTGATAGCAAAAGTTTAATTTGCATTTAGAAACGAATGTAAACTATGAGATTGAAGAGATAAATGGACTTTTAAAATTAATGCAGCATGGGTATGAGAAAGAAAATACAGAATGCTGTAGAATTAGGCACTTTTTCCCTTGGCCAATTATTATAAGCTACCTGACAATACCATTAATTTTTTTTTTCCTTTTTACACTACACAATAGCACATTCACATGTGAGAAACTATAAGAATCGCAGCCATAAGGCTGAATGCCAGCTGTCACAGGGCAAATGCGAATAGGCTACAACACTGGAAATCTGAGCCTGGAATCTGTAGGGCCACGTGGGGGTTATCTCACAGCGCTCACCTTCCACCAGTTGGTCCAGGCTGGAAATCTTCTTGAGCCCATCAATGGTGTAGATTGTTCTCACTCCCTGGGGCAAATTCACGTTATCCGACAGAGTTCGGGTCAAATCAGCCAGCAGGGCCTCGAAAGATCGGAACCGGTCTGGGGAGATGGCATACACAATCCCTTTGAAGTATCGATCTCCGTTTCGATAGAAACGAACTTTCTTGGCCTTCTTCTCGGAGCTGAGCGTCTGCAGCGTGCGGGTGCGGTAGAAGCTGCAGTGGGCGCTGTGAGTGGGGCTCGGCAGGCCGTTCACCCGCGACCCTCGGCTGTATCTCTGCGCCTTATCCCGCTCGTCGAAGTGCTCCAGCTCCATGTCTCTGCCGAAGGACATGATGGACTTCAAGTAGTACCTACGAGCCCCAGAAACAAAAGCAGACACACATATTGATGTAGGTTATATATATATATATATGTTACAACATATATATATTACATATACACACACACATACTTTTTTTTAAATTGGGGACAGGGTCCCGCTCTGTCACCCAGGCTACAGTGAGGTGGTACTCACTGAAGTACTCACTGAAGCCTCACACTCCTGGGCTATAGTGATCCTCCTGCATCAGTTTCCCAGAGTAGCCGGGACTACTACAGGTTACAGGTGCCTGCACCACACCTGGTTAATTTCCTTTGTTTGTCTGTTTTTAGTAGTAGTGATGAGGGTCTTGTTATATTGTCCTGGCTGGTATTGAATCCCTGGCCACAAGTGATCCACCCCCGCCCCCCAACTCCTTTGGCCTCCCAAAGTTTTGGGATGATGTTATTTTGAGATCATGATTTCAAAGTGTCTGCTTCAGAACAGCTGGGTGGAAATATTGCTGTAACTGATGACACATTTAATATGAGTTATCAAGTGGGACAGAAAGAGAAAGGGATGTGAATTCGTACAAAATAAACACAGGCTCCTCTGCACGCTCTCAACAGAAGGGGCCGACCCCAGCAGAAACAGCTTATTAATCAACCACAAATTTGTTAGAAGCAGCTCCTAGGTTGCCCACGGTGCATCAGGCTTCAAACAGATATTATTCTCAGTAGACACGACAACTTTCCAAAGTATTTTCCTTCCTTACAAATGAAGAAACTGAGGCACAGAAAAATTTCTCCTAAATTGCTCCAAGGAATACAATTGAGAAATGCTTGTACCAGCAACTCTGTTCCAGGTTTCCCTGACTCCAAAGGCCACTGCTCCTTGCAGGGCACAGTGCTAATCCTGGTAGCAGGAAGACAATAAGCTCTCCTATCATTATCAGTGAAAGATAAGTAGCTATGGTGGGCTGGGACAGAAAGAGAGGGCAGGCAGCATAACAGTCAGATTGTCAAAGTTTTACATAGTGTTTGTGCACCCCATGGCCAGATGGAGAGCAAATTAAATCAATCTGTAGGCTGGACCAACTTAAAGAAGATTTTCCAACATATTCACACATTCAATATTTTTAAAAGCAAATTCACTATACTTCATTTACTTACATTTAGTACTTCAGAAAAGTTGAGTTTAAAAAAAGAAGAAAAAGGAAGAGGAGGAGGAGAAGGAAGAGAAACAACAAGAAAGGAAAAAAAATGTTGCTTGGAAGTACATTTCTTGGTTCTTCCTTTCATGAAGGCTCTCTATCTTTGTGATTGAAGAAATTGAGGCTTAAAGACGTCGATTTACACTTGACCCCATGCTAGCTGTGTAAGCTTAAAAAATCTACTTGCTCAGAATCTTTAAGCCTTGATTTCCTCAACCACAAAATGGGAATGAGAACAGTACCTACCTCGTAGTCAGTATCAACTATTAAATAAGTTCATGCACATGAAATTCTTAGCATAGTGTCTGACATTCGATAAAGACTAATTTTTTTATTAATCAAATCTGTTTTCCTCTTCCTGGCCCTGACACATAAAGAGCTAATAGGAATAGAATCTTTTATTTCTGGCAAGAGAGGCTCTACTTTCTTCCTCATCTCCATCTCATGACATTTTGAAAGGTACGTCTGCAACCGCTGGTCCCCACAGCAAGCTGCCTGGGCGGACCAGTTCATCCTTGCTAAGGGGTTGGTTGATAAAGGTTTGTGGAGTCTTGCAGGGGAATCTGTGTTTTAATGAGACAATGTAGAAAGTGGAAAGACCAACGCATTCAAAGGAAAGAAATTTTAATGACAAAATTTCAGGCATGTTGAAATAGAATATCAAGAAAATGGAAAATCTGGAGCAAGAACCTTACAAGCACTTCCCAAGTCCCACCATATAGATGGACATCACCTTTCTGAAGGTCATCCAAAACTCACCAAAGTACCACTGTCTCCCCAATCTTTCTTTGACCCTCAGTAAACTGACCTCTGATCCATTCAGAGTGGCTAAAATTTCACAGCCGAAAGCATGGCTAGAGATTTGGTACTCCAGAAATGAAGTGGAAGAAAGCAATACTTATTGAAGGCCTAGGATGTACGTGACACTATTACTCATCAATCAGTTGTATAATATGCTAAAAATTTTCTTCTAAACCTCATATTAATCCAACAAGTTAGGTAATACTATCAGTACTCAGGTAACTATGGAATTAATCTAGGGTCCCAAAATTATAACTGAGGGGTTGAGATTTGAACCCAGATTTACTGTAACTCCAACGTTGGTGCTTTCCATCCCTTGCTCCTTTGAAACTGGTTGCTCTTCAGCATGAGAAGCAAGATTTTGTAAGTGCTCACTCCTAACTAGCTCAGTGACCTTGGACAGGCCACATAACTGAACTGGACCTCATCTGCACACAAAGGAAGCAGCGGTCAGCAGGCCTCTGATGTTCGTGATTCTATCTAGCTGCTTATGGATCCACTGCTGACCCCACTGAAGGTCTGGGGAGGGAGAAATGAAGTGTGATTTAAACCTGGAGTGTTAATGAGTTCAGTGTACTTTTTTCCCTCCAAAAATGAAAACTATTTCATGCATCTTAATAACTCATAGGAGTCAGAATATGCATTTTTCAAAAAAAAGTTATACCATATATAGGCAGCTCTGAACTGGTTTCATTGATTTTGAAGTTAGATAACTTAAAACAATGATCACTTGATATCCAATCCTGTAGGCATTAGTTGTGAAACAGAACCATTTTTGCCCATGATAATGGTAACGGCTCTTACTTTTTAATTTATATGTTTTTAAAGCAAGCTCTCTTGTCTTCTAAGAGGGGGTGTGTCTTGGGGGTGGAGTGGAAGGCACTCCCAGTACTCACACCAACTCACTAAGCTCTTCAACATTTTGTAAATTATAAAGGCCAAACTCGCTTTTGAAGTTTGTGTTTTATTCTTAAAGGCAGTGATCATTCTCCCAACACTAGGGGTTTGGGGATTTCCTTCCAAATTGATATAAACTAAAAGAAAACAAGCAGGGTCATAGGGAAGGATGGCACAGTCCTGTTACCAGAAAGAGTGCACTTCAAATTCTCAGTGACTGACAATTGGCAAAGGCCAAATAATTTGGCAACAGTTTGAATTCCCTGGGGGAACGGCCTTTTAGGACCAAGAATTCCCACACCAGATGAAAAGAGAAGAAAAGAACAATTTAAAATAGAAAAATGGTTTACTTTGTTTCATTTTATTTGCATATTTCCTCAAACTGGATCACAGGTTCATCCAGGACAGGGCTACACCTTTTACTTCCCTTCCCTGAATCTGTCCAAAAGTGGGCAATGGTGTCGACAAAAGAAACCATATTCAGAGTGAAATCATTTTCCAGGCTACAGCTACCTCTAAATGAAGCACACTCCACATGGTAGTGTGCTGGTAATTATTCGTGGCAACAAAATATGTGTTCTTTCCCTCACCTTGGCTTAGTCATACATTTGAACCATGCATGAGCTTCTGAAGGTCCGTTGGCCTTCCACAGGTTCACACTTTCTGCGCTGGAAGCCTGCGAGAACACACAGCTCAATGTTCAGAGACCATAGGTGGCCAAGGGCCTGAGTGCACATGTGCAGTGGCACCAGGATGGTAACCACAGCGCCTCAGCCACAGCGACCACAGACACTGGAGGGAAGAAGGGCGACTGGCTTTCATCAGAGCTTTTCCTATAAATCCTGCCATTTCAAGAAACCAACATCCCTGAGTGCTCTCAGTGGGATTTCTCACCATTTTGAGGAATCTATGTTCATCCTTCTCTAGATGAGCACATGGTTCTTGTTTCAGAAATTTACACACATACATACCAAGAAAAAAAAATGGCATAAATGCTACCACATCTAAATACATGCTGGACCTGGAAGTCCCAAGGCATATTTTAACCGTAGGATTAGGATTCAGGTGGTCTGGCATGGAATAAAAGGCACACACATACCTTCCAGGCCTGTGCACCACCACGGACGTAGACATCACAGGGTGTGTGCATACCTTTTATAATTTTCCTCTATATGACCTCTCTTAAAAATCCCTTCTGACCCGCATCCATGTGACATTTCATACTTAAAACGCTGTCCTACTTTCCTTTCCCACTGAAAGGCAATATATTTAGGAACAGTCATAAAATGTATTCACGAAACACCCTGCAGTGTGGTCGCTGAACGTGTGTGCACCGTGCCCGGACACACTCACAGGTGCAGCAGAGAGGGAGCCGGTTTGAATGAAACCTTTCATCTGCTCTCTCACCGACCAAGCATTCCTTGCCAAATCCAGCAGCAATTCCGCGCAAACCTGGTTCTCAAAAGCAGCCTCTTTTGTGGGGCATTGCGGGGCTGTGCGTGCGCTCCCACTAGGAGGAAAAATGCCATTTCCTCTCTGCATGCTTTTAGCACTGCAGGTACTAATTTGAACATGAGGCAGCCTCGCTGTCCCTGAAGGAACTTGAGACCCTGCAAACGTACTTGCAACACCCACGCTGCAGCCACCACCACGCACGAATCGACCCCATCCACAAGCACACATCTCTGGCCCGGGCACACAGAAAAGCACACACACAATAAGAGGCCCGGCCCGGCCACTCCTTCCTTGGTTCCCGCTCCGCAGCCAGTTCTGACAATGATAAGCACCTCTCCCAGCTCCTCCGCCCTGACTCTCCATCTCCACTAACAACGCGAAAAACCTGGGAGGGCCCGCTCGCCCGACTCCAGGTTTAAAGACCCATGGCACCAAACAAAAGAGGCAGGTGCCAGCAGCCCCGGGGCCGCCCGCACGCAACCCCCCCGGGTCGGGCCAGGCTGGCCAGGGCAGGGCGGCCGCCTTTCGAGGAACTGCTGGCGGGGCGGCGGGGCCAAGCTGAGCGCCCGCCCTGCCCTCGGCGCCCCGCGGCTGCGGGCGGAGCGGACGTTGCGGAGTCCTCCGGTCGCCCTCTCCTCAGCTCCCGTCCCCAGGGAAGGCAAACCACGCACCGGTCCGCGGAGAGACGCCGCCGGGGGTCTTTGTGGCCGTGCTGGGGGCCGCCTCCTGGTGCTGTCCTCGCCGGGCTAGGCGCGGCTGGGGCTGCGGGGCTGCAGGGCTGGGGGGCGGCGGCGGGGCCGGGCTGGGCGGCAGCAGCTGCTGGAGCGCGGCGTCTCGGTTGCGGCCACTAGTGCAGGGATGTGCCTCGGCCGGTCCTCATTGAAATGCAGCGCTTCGCACAACCTCACTCCAGCCTCTCTCTCCAGAGGAGGGCGGCGGCGGCGGCAGGCGCGCTCCCTTTTCTTGTCTCTCTCGCTCACACGCCCTCCCTTCTCCCTCCTCCTCCTCCTCCGCGTGCGCGCCCCGTAGCCCCCGCCCTTCTTGGCAGGGCGCACCCACCACGGCTGCGCCCCAGGTCCTCCTCCCTCCCAGCGCCCTATTCCCACCGCAGCGACCTCGGTACATCTGGCCTGACTACACCCCTAAATCTCCCTAGTCCCCAGAAGTGGTCTTTGGGAGGTGGGGGCAGATCAGATGGTGGAAGAGAACGTGGACAGGGCTGAGTCTGAGCCAGGAAGTGTGCAAGCCAGAGAGGTGATATGGCACAGAGATGAGGCCCCCACCGTCGGGGGAGGGAAGGAGGTACCCACACCCATACCTTTTGATGTGACCTCACTGTCTGACGCCTTTCCCAGGGTATGGAAGCCAGTGGATCACCCTCTCATCCTTCTTGCCCGGGATGCATCCACGCAGCGCCTCTTCGGATGACCAACCCTCCCAAGCTATGCACTCTGGTGCCCCCCACGTTGGGAAGAGCTCGATCTGCTCATGGATCCCACACCCATCATCTCCACTTGACCCCAAGATATGAGTCACCCTTGGAATAGTGTCCTCTGCTTAGAGTCAAATATGTTCCAACAGGCCCTTGAGAACTTAAGGGCCAGGTTTCACTAGTGGACACTTTGTGGCTGCCAAGGCTGGGTGTGCGGTGGAAAGCCCCATGAGCTCATGCGAGCCTCTCCTCCCAGAGCGGGAATGTTCTCCTAGCCCAGGCTGTTCACAGCTTCCTCCAGTCTTTGCACAAAAGTCCAGGGAGTGGGAGCAGCTCCCAGATTTCGGTGAAATCTTAGACTGGCTCAGTACGCAGCCTGAATGTTGATCCAGTTAATCTGACTTTCAATCCTGTCGCCCACGACCTGTGTTTGTCCCAAATACACGTAAGTATACAAATACACATAAGTATTTTTCTCTCTTCCTGAGCCTACACCTTTCAATGGAAAATTAAAATTTTATTTTTCTCCTGTCCATTGATCCCAGTTATGTATTTGACTACTTATTATTAAAAAGTACTATTCTGAAATACTTTCCAAGTATGATGTAAATGCTAAATAATTACCATTTGTTTTAAAACACAGCTCAAATGAGATCCATGCTACATATTCCACAAGTGATGCAATATTTATTTTTGAACTATTTAATAGCCCAGAGATGAGAGTACAGTGAACTCAACAAATTAACTAAATGCAAAGTAGTAAGCCTATTCTTTCACATTCTGATGCAAAATGAGAGCCATGGGGGTAAATTAAGAGAAAGGAAGAAGCCAAGTACATCTTCTGGAGAACAGAAATCAGAGCTTCTTTTTATCTTGCCAATGACAAATGCCAAGTGATTTCTTCCAAAATGCTAAGCCAGGAAATAAATTTCATCTCTTAACCCCTATGGATATTCTACTAGGGTCATTTCTTAAGAGCTTTAAGTAACTCACCAGCGTCTTACCTCTTCCTAGCACACGCATATAATGTGTTTAGGGAAACACCTTTGTGTTTGAGTCTCTCGGTAGCAAAGTGCTCTCACTAGAAATAGTTGAGCATCATTAGCTCTTTAAGGAAATCAGGGGGTAACTGATAATTAAGTAGATGAGCACATTAAATAGTTCACATTGGCCCTACATCATGGTCATATCATTTAGTCCAGGACAGCAGGCTGGTACTAAAGTTCATTCCCGGGTAGCTTAAGCCTTTGGCAAATCTAATTTATATTCAACAATAATTCCTTATTGAAATGAAATTTAACTAGAAAACTCCTAATTCAAGTAATTTTCAAAAACGAATGCTACTTCCTTTACATCACTAAGGTATTGATCAAAGAAGTGAATGGAATTAATACATCCTTTTCCCCAGGATCATCTGAAAGTAATGGAGATCTCACTCTAGCTCCCAAAAGCAAATGCTATTTAAGCTGTACCCCAACTGCCTCCCCAAGCAGACACAGCTCTGTATCCTACAGGTTGAAAATGACTAGGCCCCAGTTCTGTCAGTGGCTCCCATTAACTCAGTGCTTGCTTTTTGCCATGCTGGGGGCTTTTATACATTTTCTTATTTCATTCTCATAAGAACCATGCAAGGTAGGCATTGACATTATTATCCTCATCTTACAGATGACGGAATTTAGACATAGAGAGGTTACATCATTTGCCCACAGTCATGTAGCTTAAAAATGTCAAGCCCAACTTCAAGATTTAAAATCCCTATGTTTTAAAATTCAAGTCAGTTTTTCAATTGCTAAGGCCATATGCTTATAAAGCAATACCAAATTCTAGTGCAAAGTGTAATCTTTTTTGGAAAATGCAGTCTTTTAATCAAAGAGCTTATTACTTCATAACAGAGAGTTAACTCCTTGCTATCATGAACACTGCTTCTTTTAGTGACGGATCCCCTCAAATGTGTCTTTGGACTAAACTTCTCATGAGGACATTTGCACTTTAACCTCTGGCAACATAGTGGATGGACAATCTTATCTAAGCGTGCTTGTCTTCCTGAATGTAAGGTTTTAGTGCAAACCAGGAAAGAGACAGAGAACCATTATTCTTCGGAATAATACTTTTTAATTCACCATGTATCTCTTTTCAGGTTCTTTTCATTGCCTTGTTCATAAACAATATGCTTAATCACGTAGATTCAAGTAGAACTGTAGAATGAGAATATGAGCAGGAAGAGATACACTTCCTGTTTTTCCCTCTAGGAGGAAGAATTTGCTCTGGCTCATTCATAATCTCTCTTCTGTGGCTATGGGCATATAGTACTCCTGGGTTGGGGGACTGTGTATATGTAGTGGCTGCCACAATTGGGAGAAGCAGCTTCACAGAACATAATCATCAGTCTGATTTTCCTTTGTATTTCTTTTCTTCTGAAGACTATGGCATTTCCTGATAGTTTATCTAATTCCCTCTAATTACAGAGAACATACTTCTGGCTTCTACTAGAATCACAGAAACTCGGTGATGTGAGACCTTGGCAGAAGCCTATCAATTTTTACCCAGTGCATGAATTCCCTCCACAACAAGTTGTCTTCCAGCCTCCATTCTGTTGCCTCTGTGGCAAAAGCGAAGAGGAATAAGATTATCCCTTTGAGTGTTAGGATAGACCATGGAATTCTAGACATAGTAAATGAGATCTTTAAAATAAATTGTTTTAACTGGCTGTTTACTTTTGGTTTGGAACTCCAAACATGCTGAGGTCCAAACTACATGAGATTCTGGATCTGCACAGAGGAAGAAAGGCCCCTACTATTCTGATAGAACCTCTGTAAACTAGCAGAGGGCTTCCGAAAACTCTTTTCTTCGTTTCCTGCCTAAATGTAATTTGCTTTTGTGAAGGGGAACTCTGCACAGCCCATTCCCCTGCTGGACAGCTCCTCAAATTCAACTAAGATCCACTTCCCAGGAATTTTCCTGTGCACCCTGGATCTACCCTTTAGACCCGTGGAGAACCAATCAAATGGTCCTGGCTTTTGCTTGACAGTCTCGTTACTTTCTTCCAAATTTGACTCCTCATTAACTAGGAATCCTCAGCCCTTCAACTGCTTCTCATTTGACATCTTTGGAGATGCTCACAGCAGTGCAGCTGTCAGTATCTCCCTCCACATGTGCCTCCCAGAACTGGGCATGGCACAGCAGGGGTGGCCTGACTAGGGAAGCTCCATGACTTCATTGACTGTTGACACGGTGCTTCCATGATAGGAGCCTCACATCTCATCAATGTCTCTGACAGGCATGCCATGCTATTGACTCATCCAGTCAATAAAAATCTCCATGCTTTTCACATGTTTTGCTCTTAAGACCCCTCATTCTGCATTTGTTCAATTAGATTTGGGGGACCTAAGTCCAGTGCCCACTTGGAATTTTCCTTTATTAACGTTGTATATTGTTATTTGATCCCCCATTCAAATCTGTTGAGTGAGATCCTTTTGGATCCTAATAAGGGCATATTATACTTGAATGATCCCTCCAGCATCCTATCAGTCTGATTAACACTGCACCAACATCATCATCTCAGTTGTTGATAGAAACTTTCAACAGAACATGGCCACAGCAGGCTCCATCACCTTACTGCCCACAGTCTCGCTCCACGTTGATGGCGGATGGCCAATGACTCTCTCAATGTACTCAAGTAATTAGAGGTCAACATGTTCTCTCCGGAAAATAATTATCTAGAGATCCAGTGATAGGAAAAATTCACATTTTTGTATCAAGGATTATATCCTTGACTTCAATGCCATTTTGAGGTCATGAGTATTCATAGCCACATAAATTTTCATTCATTCATCCATTCATCTAATAAGTAATTTTTGAGTGTCTCCAACGTGCCAGGCACCATGCTAGGTAGAAGTAATACAATCATGAGATAGAGTTACACATATCCTGTGCCCAGGCATTGGTAGCTTGTAGGGAGATTGGATTAAACCCATTCTTAAACAAATAATTATTTAAGTACCATGAAAGGAAAGATCACAAATAACTTCAAGGAGAGCGTTTCTTCCCTAAGGAAGTAACATTTAAGCAAAGACCTGAAGTTTACCAGGCAACAAGGGGGAAGGGCGTTATTCCAAGCAGAAGAAACAGCTGAGTGAAGACTTTGAGTGGGAAGCAGCTTGTTCAAGAAAGAAGAGCTGGGCAGAGTGGCTGGGGCACAGGCAGAGAGAGTGGAGAGAGGCAGCTGCAAGGGTGGGCAGGGGCCAGCACCCCACATCCTGAGGGCCTTATTAAGGAATATGGACTTGTCCTAAAGCAAAGGAAAATCACTGAAGGATTTTAAGCAGAGATGTGAATCTGAACTTAGCAAAGTATTCAAATCTGCAAAGTTCTTTAAGTCCATGGATTAAATATGGCATCTCCAAGTGAAAAATAAAATTATGTAAAATTACAGGTTATTCTTGATACAAAGATTTTAGAAAAGTAACTTAAGAATGTATGCTTACTTATATATTCTATCACTGCCCCAAGGCATGGAGTAATTCCCCCAAAATAATGAAAATTTTACTTAAGGATCCTAAAATTAACCTCA